GGGTTGAACTAAGCAGCTGATAATCCTTCTGTTGTTGATGGTTGTTATGGAAGTCATGACTTGAATTTTCTGCATCTCTTTTCTTTAGAAGTTGTTCTGATGTCATTTTTGTATATATTTAAGCCTATATTTTCTATATGGATAGCATTTCAGTATTCATAAATGTGTGAAATCCTGAGAATATTTTTTGGTGTATATGGTCAGAAAGGAACAACAGATGTTTTGAAGGTTTATCAACTCCAAATCATTCCCTCAAGGGTAGTTGTCTTTTGTATCTTTATAGTTGGCATTACCTTTCCCCCTTAGATTCTCCTGACAACTTTTTGAACTTCGTTAGCTCCCTGGTACTAGAATAGTCTTTTTGTAATTGAGCTAACAGTGTCTTTTTTGCTTCCATAACTTTTGTATTATTATGCATCTTCGTGATGCCAGCAATGAAATCTATTATTACTTCATAAAAAAAAAAATAGTTGCAACCATCTCAACTTACGGCAAAAAGAAAAGAAAAAGAAAAGGTTGAAATGATCTTGCTTTTTGTATTTATGCACTTACTGTTGGTGTTTTAGCCCAGTATGACTTGTTAACCCAATGTTTGGTCTGAGAAAATTAATCTAATAAGTCTAGGACTGATTCTGATAAGATGAGTCCTATGCCCTGCACTTCCATGTACAGCTTTAGGCTTCGTAATAGGTTTTCTGTACTGTTTTTCACCCTATTGCTCCTTTCATAAGGAAAAGATGGAGGAATTAACAAGTTTAGTAGTGCCTCTGTTGAAAAATATGACTTTTGTAATGTAATTTTACCACAGAAAAATTTGGGATGCGTTAACTGGGGATGAACTGCATTCTTTTGCGCATAAGCACATTGTTCGAGCCTGTGCTTTTTCCGAGGTATATAGACCAAGCTCCATGCTACGTTTGTGCTATAAAGCATCATTTCTTTAATATTTCTCAACTTTCCACTTCTATTGCTTTTATTTTTCTGGAACAGGATACTAATTTTCTACTTACTGGTGGAGTGGAGAAAGTTTTGCGCGTATATGATATGAATCGCCCTGATGCAGCTCCTCGAGAAGTGGCTAAGACTCCTGGATCAGTCAGAGCTGTTACATGGCTTCACAGTGATCAAACAATTTTAAGTTCCTGTACTGACAGTGGAGGTGTTAGGTATGGTTTTTCAGGTCTTATGATCTCTTCGAAGTTTCTATAGGATGACTACCTTTGCGTTTAGGCTGGCATTCTTTATTGAAAAATACCCAGTATTTGAATTAGGTTTGCATTCTTTACTAAGAAGCTTTTCCCAGAGATACCTCCTACCTTCCTTGCTCTTTCTTCTCCTTCTTCTTTTTTGGTTGAGGGAAGGCGTTTCAGAATTTTACACATTGCCGTGCTCTTGCTTGAGAGTAGCATATTCTTGTGGAAGGGTTTTGATAGAAACCTTTATTAGCACAGAAACCTTTTTTTTATGTGATCGTGTGTTCCTTTATTGTAAGTTCTCAAATGATAGGTTTTTTGGCTGCAAATATGCTGCCTTGCTTGATCTAGGTGGATACACCACCCTTGCATAGTCACAAAAAGAATAAAAAATAGGTGAAAGGAGAAAGTGAAACCTTTACAACAACGGTCATCTAGTTGCTGAGTATTGGGAATATGTTCTGCAATTTAAAATAATTGTTGACAGAGTATTTCATGCTGGTGTGTGTATAATGCTCATCTATTGATGTCAGTCTGAAGCAGCTTGTGGGTATTCTCGCATTGATGTATGAGTATTGTTTATTGAGTTCCTTTTCCCCTTTGAAGAGTTTACCCCTTTGTACAGTGAGAAATCCTAATTGCTTCCACAAAAAGTCAGTATAGCCACCTTTACTCTTGCTCTTGTATATTTAATCATTTGATATTGAGAGATCATAACAGGGTCTCTAGGCATCCATTGTGTTACGCCAATTAAAATTCTTGTATATGCAGACTGTGGGATGTGAGAACTGGGGATATAGTTCGTACGCTTGAGACAAAGTCCCCTGTGACTAGTGCTGAAGTGAGTCAAGATGGTCGTTACATTACAACTTGTGACGGATTCAGTGTCAAGTTTTGGGATGCAAATCAGTAAGTTCACTACCAAAATTTTCCTATGAAAAGGGATTTAATAGGTCTATTGCCTTTAGTAATGTTGCTTATCATTATCTTTTTGAAGCTTTGGATTGGTGAAGAGCTACAACATGCCATGCACTGTAGAATCAGCTTCCTTGGAACCAAAATATGGGCTCAAATTTGTTGCTGGAGGAGAAGACATGTGGATTCGTGT